ATATATATATATATATATATATATCAAACCGATCCTAAGCAAGATCCAAAGACGTTAAGTCCAGTTCCAATCTGGATATAAAAGTCAAGCTCAATCGTCGAAATTTTCTGAATATCTCTTCCAGCCGGCCTTCGATAAAAAAGAGGCGTCTGAGTAAATAGAAGTGAGATCTTCCTATTGATATTAGCACTAGTGGGACTGGCTCTCAAGGAAAATATATATATATATATATATATATATATATATATATATATATATGAGTGTGTGGGGTTGGTGGGTGAGGGGGAGATAAAATAGTGTAAAAACTAGGTAGATGCTGATATAGTTGGTTGATGTTTGATATTTGTACTAATCATTAGCTTAATTTATTTTGGGTCAATTTAGTAATTTGTTAAAATGCATTATTGTTGTTTCACTAATCCTTCAAGATATGCCTTTTGCAATCATTTGAAAAAATGAATTAAAAAGGAAATGGAAGGAGAAATACCAATAAGCTATTTAATTTAGTATACCTTATTTTATAAAGTAGAAAAAATAGCAAGAGCGGCTTTTTCAAACTTGAAATTCATCTTCAAAAAATAAAATAAAAATTTCAAAAAATCAATCTGATATATAATTAAATGGTGTTTCGAAATTTCTTTGTTGAATAGAAGTGAAAAAAATTGTATGGACAAACATAAGCATAGTAAAAAAATATATATGATGATTTGATAAGAAGTGCTTTCTCTCGAATAAAGCTCTACTCAGCACTAATCAAAATCAATCGACTTCAATACGAATACTAGATACTCTTAAAATTGAAAAGGAAAACGATCGTACTATGAAAAGCACTGTTTACGACCAAATAAAGATATATGATTTTATACATATTTTTTCAACAATTTAGTTGTGAACATAATTGTATCAGTACTACCATAAAACTCTTGTAGTATGTTCTTATTACAATATTAATCTCAAATACAACTGCTTCAATTCAACATTGACTTTTAAAACAAATAATTGCATTCAATTGACAACTTAAAATATTTTATTATAAATTTGAAAATTACGTAACATACGCTATAAATTACAATAATTAACCACTTAAATATCTATACTATCTAATAAGAGTCTTACTTTCTTTTCTAATTAATCGTATATTTAAAGATTACATTGAAGATACTATAAATAATTATGAATAACAAAACTTAAAATATTTTATTGTAAATTTGAAAATTACGTAACATACGCTATAAATAATTAACAACTTAAAATATTTATAGTATCTAATAAGAGGCTACAAAACACTACTCTTAAACATACGAGGTATGTTTAAAAATTCTATAAATCACAATAATTAACAACTTAAAATATTTTTTAAAAAAATAGAAAAAATTTAGTTGACTCTTAAAATTCTATCGGTTACACGTGAATTTGAATAGATGGAACAATATATATTATTGAAAGTTGCGTAAACCAAACTATAATTAACAACTGAAAATACTTAAAAGAACATATAAGAAATTTGGTGGACTCTCCTAATTTCGTATGTGTAATATAAGTTGAAACAAAGGAGTAACATAAATTATTCGAAAATGACGTAAAATTTTTTTACAAATCATAACAAATTAACAACTTAAATTATTTTTGAAAAAACATATCAAAAATTTAGTTGACTCTCCAAATTTCATAAGTATCACATAAATTGAGATTAAAAATTAATATATATTACGCCCGTACCGACACGTACACTTAGTAGGCGTTTGGCCATGCGATACCATATCACGATATGGTATCGTGAGATGGAATCAGCGTTTGGACATGCGATTTTACGTTGATTCCATCTCATGATTCCATATCATAAGAGGTGATACCATATTCTCCAAAAACCATGATATGGAATTATATGGTGATTCCATATCATGATTTGAGATTTTTTAATACAATAATTGATCCATGAGTTTATATTTTGTTAAAACAACCCCACATTTATATCTACTAACCATTTGTTTCATATGTAAATAAAATTTATAATCACATCATTACTTTTTAAAATTTATTATTATCACCGATATAAAATTTATTAATCTCACCAACATAAAGTCACTTAAACTCACACCTCACAATTGTGAAACTTTTCAACATTCACTTGAACAATTAACCGGCATGTTAAAATAGTTGCCGAGGCAATTAGCAAGATGTCACGAACATTTATACAACCAAAAAATATGACTAGTGTACATTCCAAAATTCGACATAATACTCAATTTTGGCCTTGGTTTAAGGTAAAATTCAATCACATTAATAAATTTATTTTATGGCCTTAATAAGTGAACATTTATATTTTATGTGTAAGTTATTAGTATTTAGTTACATATTTCCTATCAACTTTGTTTAAAGAGATAATATTTATTTTATGACTTTGCATTGTCTTGGAAGCACTATTTTTATTACTCTTACAAACATTATTTTTATGAAGTGCATTCTATAATGCTTCCAATTTATTTTATGTTCAGTAAACTAATATTGATGTATTTTTTATTTGGTAGGATTGTGTTGGTGTGATTGATGGAACATATATAGAAGGGAAGGTTCCTAAAGCGGTGCAACAAGCATATCGTAATCGCAAAGGAAGAACATCACAAAATGTCTAATGTGCTTGTGATTTTGATATGCGATTTAACTTTGTCACTGCTGGTTGGGAAGGTACTGCACATGATAGTAAAGAACTTGAGAATGCACTTGTTGAACCAACATCACAATTTCCATTTCCGCCACATGATAACTTTAAATTACATCCCTAGAATAAATATTATTTATTTCCACAAAGTTGTCTCATTTACGTCACATATACTTTTAGTTATTCTCTATAAAATATTTTTTGGTAGATAAATATTATGTTGTTGATGTTGGTTTTCGAAACACAAAAGGATTTTTAGATCCATACAAAGGACTACGCTATCATTTGCAAGATTACCGAGGAAGTGAAAGAGAGCCTCAAAATGCCGAAGAACTATTTAATTATAGGCATTCATCTCTGCGCAATGTGATTGAACAGACTTTTGGAGCTTGGAAAAATAGATTTAGAATACTGAAACAAGGCATGAACCATTATGATATTGATACACAAGTGAAAATTGTCATAGCTTGTGTAGTGTTACAATTTTATTTGCGAAAATACCAAAGTAGTGATGAAATATTTATGGTCTATGAACATGAAGATATAGTTGCGGAGGATATTGACCAACAAATGGCTCAAAGTAACAATGTTGGTTCGTCTTCTCGGTCACATGATCGAGAAATGCAAGTTCAACGTGAGGAAATTGTCCGTATTATGTGAGAGGATTATATTAAAGACTAGTACACTACAATTTATGTTCAATTTTTTTTTATTAAATTAAAGTTAGATGAAACAATTACTTAAGTGGAGAACAAATAACTTTGTAATAATTTATTATGCGATTTTATAATTTTTTGTTTATTTGATAAGATTGAATTAACAATTGGGGCTATTTTAATAATTTTACAACTTATGGGATTTTTATGTTTATGAGAAAATATACAACACAAAAGTTACATATCGCATGTCCAAACAAACCTTCAATTTCATCTCATGATTCCATATCATGATATCATATCGCATGGCCAAACGGGCCCTTCATATTTAGTACATATAGAGCTAAATCACCAGCCATGTGATAGCAATAATTGAATATATTTATATAGAGCTAAATCACCGACCATGTGATAGCAATAATTGAGCTAGCTAGAGTCCAATCCTAGGGCAGTCTGACTTTATGATTCTTAAACGATATAAGAATAGTCTCTCAAACTTTATTAGGTAGGAGTAAGGATTGAGATTGCATCTTGCTCAAAAATAATATTAACATGTTTGAAAATAATTGAAAGTTTGTGATTGTCAGAAATAAAAACATGAATCTAAATTCATAATCAAGGATTTTATATATACCAAATTCTATAAGTATAATTTTTTTAATTTACCATTAGGTTATCGATTAACCCGTTAAGAAAAAAACCTCAAATCATTAAGAATTGATAATCTAATAATAAAAAAAAAAAAACCTTTAAACCAATAACTTTTTTATTTTATTTGAATTATCGGTTTGTGTTCGATTTTGAATCGCTCGAATAAAAAAGGGCGTTTGTTACCACCATTTAGCATTTAAGCGCTAACTTGTTCATATATATAAATAAATATATATCCATTTTAAATTTTACAACTCCAACTAATAAATTAACAACCCATAAAAAAAATTAAATGCAAGATATATATATATGGGTGTGTGGAGGTGGGGGGGTAATAAAATAGAGTAAAAACTAGGTAGATGTTGATATAGTTGGTTGATGTTTGATATAAGATGATTTGTACTCATCATTAGCTTAATTTATTTAGGGTCAATTTAGTAATTTGTTAAAATGCATTATTGTTTCTATATGGGTGTGTGGAGGTAGGGGGGGGGGGGGGTAATAAAATAGTGTAAAAACTAGGTAGATGCTGATATAGTTGGTTGATGTTTGATACAAGATGATTTGTACTCATCATTAGCTTAATTTATTTAGGGTCAATTTAGTAATTTCTTAAAATGCATTATTGTTTCACTAGTCCTTCAAGATATGCCTTTTGCAATCATTTGAAAGAAAGAATTAAAAAGGAAATGGAAGGAGAAATACCAATAAGTTATTTAATTTATTATACCTTATTTTATAAAGTAGAAAAACTAGCAAGAGAGACTTTTTCAAATTTGAAATTATCTTCAAAAAATCAATCTGATATATAATTAAATGGTGTTTCGAAATTTCTTTGTTGAATAGAAGTGGAAAAAATTGTATGGACAAACATAAGCATAGTAAAAAAAAATATATGATGATTTGATAGAAAATGCTTTCTTCCGAATAAAGCTCTACACAAATCTAATCAAAATTAATCGGCTTCAATACGGATACTAGACACTCTTAAAATGGAAAAGGAAAACGATCTTACTATGAAAAGCACTGTTTGCGACCAAATAAAGATATATGATTTTATACATATTTTTTCAACAATTTAAGTTGTGAACATAATTGTATCAGTACTACAATAAAACTCTTGTAGTATGTTCTTATTACATTATTAATCTCAAATACAACTACTTTAATTCAACATTGACTTTTAAAACAAATAATTGCATTCAATTGACATAGAATCTTAATGCCTAATTAGATGTATGAAAACTTTATTCCAGATCCTTGGAATTTTTGTTCAATAATATGATTGAGTTTCTCACTCATTTCTATGGTAAAATAATTCTTCCAATCTCCAACTTCTCCTTTACGAAAGAACGCTTTATTTTCTTCTCCAGTTGAGAATTTCCCATTTGCATTCACCTCCAAGTTGCTCAAATTCTCAAAGCTACACATTCTTAATATTTCATCCATCACTCCACAATTTTCTTCCTCTATGGAAAATGGACATTCCAAAAATTCAGCCAAGCGTTTAAGCTGAAGTTTGGGCTGCACTTTAATTTCTTCATACATCAAGAAAAGTACTTTGTTAGGCTTTTCTATACTTTGTTTCCAATAATCCAATACGTGATTCCAAAACGGACCATAAAGGCTCACCCCCTTACAAAAAGATTCAAATTTTTCTTCAATGGGATGTATATCTTTGTGATGAAGTCTTAAATTGTTTGTAAAATGCCACAGAGAAATAAAAGTGTCCTTAGGATTCCTACACAAGTAAACAAGTTTGGTTTTTGAATCCTGGATAGATTTTGGCAATGAAGCATAGGGCATATGAGTTGACAAGAGTCTAGGTGAAGTGAAGGATGCAAAATTAGGGACAAGACCATAACCATAGAATCTAATTTCCAAGAATGGAATAAGATCATGAGGGTTCTTAACAAGTAAAGGATGATTTTGTTCAAAAACAGGATATTTCATTCGATTCACTAAAACAAATAAAAGAGATTTTAACCAAGTCGTTCCTGATTTAGGAGTTGTAACAAGGATAATATCACTATCTTGAGCCTGAAATTGATGTTGACAAGAAATCACACCTTGAATGACTCTTGGTGTTACCCAAAAACCTTGGTAATTATACATATGTGATGCAAGCCATCCTCTTTCTTTTGGTAGAGTTAAGAGCAATTTCTTACACTCATCACTGATTTCATCCTCTTGTAAATACTTGGGAGGAATTTGGGGAGAAGTTTGAGATTTTGACATGTTTTAAAGTGTATAGAGGAGTGTTTCGTTTAGTTTGTAGGTTGAAGATTTACTCATATATATTACTACTATATATAAGAGACTAGGGAAGCAGTTGTTCGTCAACATTAGGGGTGTAGAAGTCAAACAATAAAGTCAAATCGTAAAAAAAATGATTTGTGGTTTGGTTTGGTTGGTTTGGCAGTTGAAAAAAAAAAACCGACCACTCTTGATTTGGTTTGATATTAAAAGAAAAAAAGTCAAACCGAACACAAATCAAACCGACATAATATTATATATATAATTTTATTTTATTTATAGATTAAAAAAATATTATTTATAATCTACTTTGTTAATATAATTTTAGTTAGTTTATAGTTTTCAATGTTTATATATTTTATTTCAAATTTGGGCTTGTAAAATTTGTAAATATTTTATTTTGTATTTAGATTTGAAGTTACAATTATATTGTTATAGTTTTTCAAATTCAAAGTTAAGAATTTACTTAGTAAATATTTTGTTTTGTATTCAGTTTGCATGTAGCCTTTAATCTTATTAATTTAACATAATGAGTGTTGATATTTTTAAAAAAAAAACAAATTGTACTCGTGTGAATTTTACCGTCTTTTCAAAAATTTCTATTCATTTAACATTTTTAAGTTTAGCTTATCACACAGGTAAGTGAAAATATATTTGATCTCTTTTTCAAACACCGTATAGTTGTAAAAAAACCAAAAAATCGAAAAAAAAAAACCAAAAAAATCGACTTTATGTGGTTTGGTTTGTTTTTTAGATTTAATAAACCGACATAATTGATTTAGGTTTTTTTAATGAAAAATCAAATCAAACCGACCTATGTACACCCCTAGTCAACATGTCTGCTTCCCTAGCCAGGGGCAATATGGGTATTTTCTTTAATATTATACCCAGCTTCTTTACGGCTGTACATTCTTATCATTTGACATAAAAATTCGTTTATATTTTCTTTTTTTAACTTGCCTGAGCCGAAAAGTTCATTGACTCCAGTTTTTCAATTTTGCTTTGCATTTATTTCATTGTCAATAGATATGACCCCACCTTATCAATTCCATTCCTTTCTTTTATTTCTTGCCTCGCAAATGTTAATTACTCAATTTATAAATTGCATATTACAAAAATGTTACCTACTTAAATTTGTTCAAATTTTGTTGTTGTCCTCTCTGTTTTAATTTATTTGTCTTATTTTTTTTAATTAATCGTATATTCAAAGATTACATAGAAGATACTATAAGTTATTATTATTATAATTAACAATTTAAAATATTTTATTATAAATTTGAAAATTACGTAACATACACTATAAATTATAATAATTAACCACTTAAATATTTATACTATCTAATAAGAGTCTTACTTTCTTTTTTAATTAAGCATATACTCAAAGATTACGTTGAAGATACTATAAATAATTATGAGTAACAAAACTTAAAATATTTTATTGTAAATTTGAAAATTATGTAACATACGCTATAAATTACAATAATTAATGACTTAAAATATTTATAGTATCTAATAAGAGACTACAAAACACTACTCTTAAACATACGAGATATGTTTAAAAATTCTATAAATCACAATAATTAACAACTTAAAATATTCTATTATAATTAAAATGACGTTAAAGTATTATAAATCACATTAATTAACAACTTAAAATATTCTTTTTTTTAAAAATAGAAAAAATTTAATTGACTCTTAAAATTCTATCTGTGACACATGGATTTGAATAGATGAAACAATATATAATATTGAAAGTTACGTAAACCATACTATAATTAACAACTGAAAATACTTAAAAGAACATATAAAAAATTTGGTGGACTCTCCTAATTCCGTATGTGTAATATAAGTTGGAACAAAATGAGTAACATATATTATTTGAAAATAACGTAAAAATTTTTTTATAAATCTTAACAAATTAACAACTTAAAATATTTTTGAAAAAATATACCAAAAAATTAGTTGACTCTCCAAATTTCATAAATATCACATAAATTGAAATTAAAAATTAACATATATTACGTCCGTACTGACATGGACACCTAATATCTAGTATATATATAGAGAGAGCGCTAAATCACCAGCCATGTGATAGCAATAATTGAATATATATATAGAGAGAGAGCGCTAAATCACCAGCCATGTGAAAGCAATAATTGAATATATATATATATATATATATTATATAGCTAAATCACCAACCATGTAATACTAATAATTGAGTCCAATCCTAGGGCTTGTCTGACTTTATGATTCTTATCATTTCACGATGTAAAAATAGTCACTCAAACTTTATTACGTAGTTTCGAAATCAATCTAATATATAATTAAATGGTGTTTCGAAATTTCTTTGTTGAATAGAAGTGAAAAATATTATATGGACAAACATAAGCATAGTAAAAAAATATTTATGATGATTTGATAGAAAGTGCTTTCTCTCGAATAAAGCTCTAATCAAAATTAATCGACTTCAATATAAATACTAGACACTCTCAAAATCGAAAAGGAAAACGATCGTACTATGAAAAGCACCGTTTGCGACCAATTAAAGATATATGATTTTATACATATTTTTTCAACAATTTAAGTTGTGAACATAATTGTATCAGTACTACAATAAAACTCTTGCAGTATGTTCTTATTACATTATTAATCTCAAATACAACTACTTCAATTCAACATTGACTTTTAAAGCAAATAATTGCATTCAATTGAAATAGAATCTTAATGCCTAATCAGATGTATGAAAACTTTATTCTAGATCCTTGAAACTGTTGTTCAATAATATGATCGAGTTTTTCACTCATTTCTGTGGTAAAATAATTCTTCCAATCTCCAACTTCTCCTTTACGAAAGAACACTTTATTTTCTAATTCTTCAGTTGACAATTTCCCATTTGTATTCACCTCCAAGTTGCTCAAATTCTCAAAGCTACACATTCTTAATATTTCATCTATCACTCCACAATTTTCTTCCTCTATGGAAAATGGACATTCCAAAAATTCTGCCAAGCGTTTAAGCTGAAGTTTGGGCTGCACTTTAATTTCTTCATACATCAAGAAAAGTACTTTGTTAGGCTTTTCTATACTTTGTTTCCAATAATCCAATACGTGATTCCAAAACGGACCATAAAGGCTCACCCCCTTACAAAAAGATTCAAATTTTTCTTCAATGGGATGTATATCTTTGTGATGAAGTCTTAAATTGTTTATAAAATGCCACATAGAAATAAAAGTGTCCTTAGGATTCCTACACAAGTAAACAAGTTTGGTTTTTGAATCTTGGACAGATTTTGGCAATGAAGCAAAGGGTAAATGAGTTGACAAGAGTCTAGGTGAAGTGAAGGATGCAAAATTAGGGACAAGACCATCACCATAGAGTCTACTTTCCAAGAATAGAATAATATCATGAGGGTTCTTAACAAGTAAAGGGTGATTTTGTTCAAAAACAGGATATTTCATTCGATTCACTAAAACAAATAAAAGAGATTTTAACCAAGTGGTTCCTGATTTAGGAGATGTAACAAGGATGATATCACTATCTTGAGCATGAAATTGTTGTTGACATGCAATCGTACCTTGAATTATTCTTGGCAATGCCCAAAAACCTTGATAGTAATAAATATACGATCCAGCCCATCCTTTTTCTTTTGGTAACACTGAGAAAAAATTCTTACACTCTTCACTTAAGCCCTCTTGATCTTGTAAGTATTTGGGAAGAGATGTTGTCATGGTTTTTAAGATTGAGTGTTTTCTTCTAATTTGTATGATGAAGGTTTACTCATAAGTGTATATATAGAGAGAACTAGACAAGAAACTTCAAATAGAGCTCTTGTTTTGTTACATGACATTAATAATGTTGTGGTTGTGGGGTCATGTTAGAAAACACTTTTTTTTCCCATCTAATAATTGAACAGCAAAGTAAGAGAACTAGACAAAGCACTCTAGAGATGGCTCTTAATTAGGCATATCCATGGGTAAAAAATTTAGTTAAGAAAAAAAGTAGACACATCTAGTAATATAATTGTTAGTTGTCTCATGAAAAATTTTATAAGGAAAGTTTAATTGGATAAAATCTTGATTAAGGAGAAAATAGTACATCACATATTTTACTATTCTTGATTAAAATATCACTTAATATCTAGAAAATGATGCATTCTAATCTTGTATATCAATTTCTTCAATATTGAGGTCGATAATGCCTTGAAAACAAATCCGCTTGATTCTGATCACTTGAACAAACTTTTTGAACATCTATTTAACCCATTTTGAAGAACACGAGTGATGATTTTTTTAAAATTACATAAGTGTTCGAATTGCTCCAAAGTTCCTAGAGACTCATTCAAACTATCTATCTAAGTTATGAATCATTATCTGGATCTATAAGAACTTTCAAACCTCTATTTCAAGTCCATTTACGTCAAATATTGTTTTTGATCAATTTTTTGGCCTAACATTTAGCTTTTCGTTTTCTTCTCTGATACACATTTGGATGCCTCGAGACTCATGTCACCCGACCTCACAAGTCAAAATTCACATTTCAAACCCAAAATAAGTGTCAAAACGGTTATCGAATGGATCGTTACAAGTCGTTCTTTAATTTGTGCCCTCTCTAAACGTGAGTATATGTATAGAGTGTGGTTCCCTTTTTGTCCATGACAAAACAAAGTAATATGAATTTAATACATAATTTGTAATAATTTGAGTAATGATTAATGAACATCTAAAACAGTACCATTATATTACTAGTAGAATTTTTGTGATATATATGTTCTTGTTACATGAATCTCAAATACACATATCTCAAAAACATATACTCCAATATTATGTTTCGAAGCAAATAAAATAATCCCTAATCAAATATATGAAAATTTCAGTCCAGATCCTTGAAATTTTTGTTCAATGATATAATTGAGTTTCTCACTCATCTCTGTAGTAAAATAATTCTTCCAATCTCCAATTTCTCCTCTACGAAAGAACACTTTATTTTCTGCTCCAGTTGTATTCACCTCCAAATTGCTCAAATTCTTAAAGCTACTCATTCTTAATATTTCATCTACAACTCCACAATTTTCTTCCTTTATAGAAAATGGACATTCCAAGAATTCAGCCAAACGCTTAAGATGCAATTTTGGTTGTTCTTTAATTTCTTCATACATCAAGAAAAGTACTTTGTTAGGATTTTCTATGCTTTGTTTCCAATAGTCTAACACGTGATCCCAAAATGGACCATAAACGCTTATCCCCTTACAAAAACGATCAAACAATTCTTCAATGGAATTGGTTTCTTTGTGATGAAGTCTTAAGTTGTTTGCAAAATGCCACATAGAAATGAAAGTGTCCTTAGGATTCCTACATAAGTAAACAAGTTTGGTTTTTGAATCTTGGACAGATTTTGGTAATGAAGCAAAGGGCAAATGAGTTGACAAGAGTCTAGGTGTGGTGAAGGATGAGAAATCAGGCTTGTCCATCAACATAGAGTGTAAGTTCAAAGAATGGAACAAGATCATGAGGGTTCTTGATAAGTAAAGGGTGGTTTTGTTCAAAAATAGGATGTTTAACTCGATTCACTAAACCAAATAAAAGTGCTTTTAGCACAGTAGTTCCTGATTTAGGAGTTGTAACAAGGATGATATCACTATCTTGAGCTTGAAATTATTGTTGACAAGCCATCACACCTTGAATGATTCTTGGTATTGCCCAAAAACCTTGGTAATTGTAGCTATGTGATGTAAGCCATCCTCTTTCTTTTGGTAGAGTTAAGAGCAATTTCTTACACTCATCACTGATTTCATCCTCTTGTAAATACTTGGGAGGAATTTGGGGAGAAGTTTGAGATTTTGACACGTTTTAAAGTGTGTAGAGGAGTGTTTCGTTTAGTTTGTAGGTTGAAGATTTACTCATATATATTACTACTAGATGAGTATTGCACGTGCCATGCACGGGCCCAACAACGTGAATTATAATGTCATTTATTTGTGTTTAGTCTGAATTGTCACCAGAGATCTAGGACCTAAGTTGTATTTATATTTTAAAAATGTAAGAAAAAAAAATATAAAATATAACATATTGTTTATATTTATATATAAATATATTGACATACATGTAAGATTGTTTGATTCAGAAATTTGATTTTCTTCTACAAAATGAAAAAGTCATCCCAATTGTTTGGCACGGTATACACTTAAACAATAATCCACAATTTTATTAAATATTTATTTAATAAATCGATAATATTTATTTAATAAATCAGGTCGATACAATTCAATCGATCTTTTATATTCTTTTTACACCCCTACATACAATCATATATATTGCACTTACCTATTACTGAAATGACTAATTTCTGTTACTCCCTTTAATACAGTTGCAAAATCAAACCCAAGCGGATGTGTCGGTGGCTCATTACACTATCCACCATCCTATGCTACATGATTAATTAACACAATATATCATTTTTCTACCAGTGTTCGTACTTCGCAGTTTGCACCATGGACACATAAATCACATAGGGATATTGAAAATATTGTCCATGGCAAAATATTTCGCTGCTTTGTACTTTTCAAAGAGCTGCTTCCTATTCCAAAAAGAGAAAGAGATTAAACATTTCAAAATAGAAAGCGCTAAACCAATAAAAATCCATAGCCACATTTAAAAAATTACTATGGAGAACATGTGTGTGTGAGACCTAGAAAAAATTACTTTGGAGAACAAGTGTGTGTGTGAGAGAGAGAAAGCAAGACAACGTATTCGATCAAATCAAGGAACAATGAAAAAAAACTACTTATGAGTATTATACCCAATAGTCAAAACTTCAAGTTATACTCCTTTAGAGAGCGGTCGAGGAGGGCACAGAGTTAATAAAGGCCAAAAACCATTGCTACAATCTAAGGATACATCAAAAAATTAATTCTTTCTCAAACCAATATAGGATTTTTTTCATCATTAAGAATAAACCAATTAACAATTCCTTGTTTTTTCTTTGATAAGCCAATGCTGACAAGCAAAAACTCTATTAATTGACATGTTGTAAAAGACAAGTTCAAGGCTTACATATCAGTGACGGATTGAGTAGCCTCAGTGTGTATTTAAGAAGACAATGCAAACAATGTTGTGAAGTATATTTCACAAATAAGATAATCAGCAACCAATCCAGCAGCAACAACTGATGGTGATGTCTGCAAAGCTTGGAGATAGCCACATAGTTGGCAGCTGAAAGAGAGTTGGTAATCATTTAAGCCATTAATAAACGAATTAACAAAATGTCAAATTGTAAATAACTAAGTATTGTAGCATAACTGTTTTACAGAGCAAAATAATAATCATTGCAATAACAGATTAAGACATCATTAAATGACATCAGGCTATATTTACAACGACTTCTTTATTTGTAATGTTCTCCATTAGCTACGTCGACTAATATAAAAGGCTGTCACAGAGAAACTTTCATGATGAAATAAAATTTTCTTTAATATGGATTCAATGGGTCTTTGTTGTTAAAGAGGCAATAAGATATATCCAAAGTTGAAACTGATATCATCTTTAGATAGTACAATGTTACCAGCTTAGTTACTAAAACACATGAATGCTTAAGAAGATAAGTTTTTTTTCCTATTTCAGCCATGATAAACATTAACAGAAAATAACTAATCAAAAGTTATTCAGTTACACCAAAGAAGAATCGACTTTACTAACAAGTGGCGTGGAAAATATGATTTATTGAATTCGAGCAGGAAGAGGGAAACAACCTGAAATCATAAATACTTACCTGTTACTAATAAAGTTTTTGTTGAAACTATAGCCAATAATGTAATGCTTAAGCATTTCTTCGAAGTGAGAATAGTATGACTTACAATGTTATAATCCACTTCTTGCAATGACTAAATTTGTGATAAATTTTAAAATTTGACTGGAATAGATACAAAAAGCTGACTCTTGTTCATAGGTATCTATCCCAATATCCCGATAGCATCTCATGAGTTAACAAATTTTGAAGTATTCACAGAAGTGTAAACAAGATTTTTTCAAAATCATTACCTAAGCTGCCAAGGGGCATGCCATGATCCTCCATCCGACACGGCAACTTGGGACCTTCTTGCATTCGATGATACGTTCTTCATTCTCTAGAGGTGTGTTGATGTCCACTCTGTTTTCCACATTTGCATGTGAAGTAGAACTCCATTATCATTTGGAATGGAGAAAAGAAAATGTGATCATAACACAAATCACCATACCCATAAAAAGAAAAAATGAATATTCGACAAAAAAAACCAACAATTTATACATCAAACACATAGTAACATACTTTTTTGAAGAGTTTGATCGCTAATTGATAAGAGATGATCACGAGATAAATGCAAGAAAGTGGTTTAAGAAGCATTGTCAATCATCCAAAAACAATATAAGAACATATATATTACCATAGACACCAACTGAATTTCACGTGCCAATCACGGTAAAATTTGCACATATCACACACAAACTTAGCGTGTTTTCCTTCGGATTGCTTTAGTTTTTCAAGATCAGCATCTAAAAGCAGGGAAGCATACTCTTATTTTAGAGGTGAACAAAATTATTAAAGGTCCAAAATATAGAAGCATTCGACATATTTAAGCAGTGAACATTCACATTTCAATTTGACTGTGATGTAATGTTGATGCCTACAACATAAATATTTGCCCCCCACGTAAACACAACATCAGCAGCCTCAGGGTCCCCATATATCTGCTTCGTCAGCAAATTAAGCAAATGAGTAAACAGTAACAAATTGGATAAGTGAATACAACAAAGACTGTTTATTCAGCTTTGCACATTGTAAGACATTACAACAACAACAACATGCCAAATGTAATCTCACAAATGGGGCCTGGGAAGGGTGGTGTGCATGCAGACCTTACCTTTACCTTTTTGAAGTAGAAAGGTTGTGTCCGATAGGCCAGTGGCTCAAAAAAGCATATCAACGCAGGTTTAAAAAGGAATTGTAAAACATTGTAAATATTATAGTATTTATATACCCCATTGGGAAAGAAATCACCCACATTTGCTTCTGCGGCAGGATTAATATTTCCTAAAGCAAAGAAGGAATCACCAAGTACAACCACTCTCTTCACCTTGCTTGCAAAGGTTGAGTCCCTCTTTACAGCCTAACCAACAGATAACAATGAAACTTTTGTTATTGCAATGGAAAAATTGGAAACTTAAAAATCAAAAGTTTTAAGATACGACATACCAAAGCCAAGTTTGTCAATGGTCTTAATGCAAGTATAGACATTTCACCAGGATATTCAGAAACTTTTTCCACCAAGAATTCAGATGGAGACTTGTCGATTTTTTTTGAATTTGGAGAAGGTAAAAATAAGTTGCCTAATCCAACTGAACCATGAACAAAGTCTGCAACACGTGGTTCCCCTCTCTATAGCAAGAAACAAGAGTTAGGTTAGGTGACAGTATGTTGAGAAGCTACAAGGGAGAAAGGAAAGTAAGCATAAGCTGAACTTTTTTTTTTGTGTAAAACCAACCATCGTTTTTCCTCTTTAATCTATTCCAATATCTATCTACACGGTGGAAAAAACTTAAAAAATTAGCTTCATGTTACGTATGTTCAAGTGATGCTGCAGTAATCACTTGTCTCTTTGGAATATATAGTATGTGAGATTGCAAAGAGAAAAAATTGTTACTATTAGAAGAAATATACAGTAAAAATAAAAACAAAATTACCTTCAGAGGTTCAGACCTACCCTCTACCACGGGAACATCTGGATATCCTGCAGCTTCACACTATCATTTTGCAAATTAAGTTAAAGAAGTAATTGATCAAGAACTTGATCCATAAATATCTAGAAGATGGAAATTTTAAACACGATGAAAAGAGAGAAATTTAGATAAATAAAATTAAAATAAAAAACATACCAAGAGTAATGCATTTCGTGTAGCATCTTTTGTAGTAACATTGCCAAAGATAGTAGCCAAGCCTATGACCTCAACTTCTGGTGTCTGAAATGCCATTAGTATTGTCATATTGTCATCTATTATCAACGAAAACAAAATTAGCTCCAATGTGACAAATGGGAACCACATCGAACATGAAGCTCATCAGGAAACACACACAAACACAACTCAGCCTCCTGAGTACCTATTATGAGAGAGATACATGTCTTTCTTTTTCATTCACCGGCACAATTTATCCCACATATTTGAGACGACAGAAATGAAAGAATTTCTTGATATTTTTTCAAGGATCAATACGTATTATACTTTTATCTTTTTCCTGGTTGATGAGTCACCAAGTATCATATTTTTAAGAGTGCATTAGTTTCTACTTGAATGAAATACAACTTCTATGCCAAAGAGTCACCAGAAGATATGCTCCTGGGGAATTTCCTCTTTCACAAAGAAATAGCTTTCCCGGGAAAAAGATTTCAGAACAGAAAGGGTAAATTGTTCCAAGCTAAGATAAGTGCTAAGAGCTTCCTTCAAACTTCTCGATCTGGGAAACCTCATCAAGTATGCTCTTTTGGGGACAAGGAAGAGAACAGATGGAAACCAGACGTTCAAGGAAAACATCCTGCTATTGCATTGTGTTTTCCCTTCTCGAAGACATATTTCTCTGATCAAAGAATGACTCTCCTCAAGTTGGATTTTGGTTTGGTTTCATAGCTAGGTTGCATTTATTTGATACTTCTTTCTTACTCTCTCTAGTATAGAACTCACATCATATTCTTATTGATATTTCATCTTGTCCTTTATTTATTATATAATAGCCAACCATCTTTGCTACTTTAGCTTCCTCAGTATTATTGAAGTTCGAAGTTTTCAGTCCAGAGTGAAGTTACAGATTGTTAAAAGTAAGAGTGAGTACTACATAAACAAAGTTTGCAAGCCAAAATCCTACTATAGTTGTTATGGAAGAATCAAGAGAATTATAGAAACCACCTTCTGAAATTTGTCGGAAACGGTAATATAATTTCTTACGTTCCTATGTGTTAGTATTAGTACTATCTCTCAATTTCTTTATGGAAGTAAGAAAACATCCCTTGACTAAAAGAAGTCTCAAAATTAGAAAAGATCATATACAAAGTTAATTGCATACTTTCATATATTAAAAGTATAGCTAATTTTTTTTTGATAACCGAGAAATCCGTCTGTGACCCGCCCTTTTGGAGCAATCACAGCTATTTATCTCCAACAAAAAATAATCCCAAAATTCACAAGTTCCAGAATGAATGAGATTATATTCTATCTGATTATTGTAATCAAAATGGACACAATAAGGAACTTGGATGTCTTTACTTTATTGAATCTGCCCTTCCCTTTGCACTTCTAACAACAAAAAATAAGAATCTTCAAGTACACAAAACTGAATTCCCGAAAAGATACCACATTCCTATAAGAACTCCCCAAATTAAGCTAGGTGTACCTGTAGTATAATCGTTTCTCTGAGGAGTTAATATTGGTTTTTGGGTATGAAGCTTTGTCAACTTCTCTTCTCAAGTAAATGAAAATGTTCACACCTGCGATTAATAAATTGAAAAAGAAACACTAAATTTCAATAACCAAGAACAAAGGGAAAACAAATTTTGAAATAAAAATCCATAAATCTGCAACTATATAAAATAAAATTGCATATATGTGTGAGGACAACATAAATCTTTACATCAATTATAAAATTGGGGGAGAGAATTAGACATAATAATAATGACGTCAAACCTATATTTTAGTGGTAAAATTTAAAAGGTCAAAAAGAACTGGAAGAAATTTGTTGCAAAATTGAAAGAAGAACATACCTGGAATTCGTTGTTGTTGGAGTTGGAGCAAGAGAAATGGAAGAACTGATTCTTGTATTGAAAATCTTGCGTCTACTTTGTGCTAATGAGGAAGGTGAGTGTTCTAGAATGATGGAGAGTATGCATTTGTCAGGTTAAAAATTTACTATTTTGCCCTTGATCGTCCTGGTTGGCTTCACTCTTCTATATAATAGAAATTACCCTTATTTAGAAATGGGAGTTAAAAAAGACGAACACTACATCTTTTGATTGTACTAAAGGTAATACTAATTGTACAGTCATTTTCCCCTTTTTCATTGATGAATAAACACGTGTCTCATTTTGCTTCACTTTGTCTAGAAGTTTTGCACTATCATCTCACAATTCTCTATACATTTCTCTCTCCTCCTTTGCTAAGCTTGCTCTATTTTCTGAACTCTTCTTTGTAGATCTCAACTCTTCAATGGAGAATTCATCTGTTGCTGACTGTCTTCTGTTTGTCTAGACACTTTAAATCTCTCTGTGAAGGTTTCCTCAAGATTTTTGTTTGTTTGGGATGCCCTGCCGAAGTATTTCTTCATGATTTAAGGTAAATTTACATGTTTGCTCCATCATTTGCTCTTTCTCCGATTCTGACCATCCTCTTAAATATTTGTTTCGCCCTCAAATTCCTCTTCCTTCCTGTTGTATTACGGTTAGTTGCTCCCCCTAATTTTCCTACTGTTAAATATGTCCAACCCTTAAAAAAAACAGCTCTAATGGTAGCTATTTTATAAGCCAACAACAGCTGGGACGACATAGGACGAACATAGCTCCAAAACTTGTTGTATTGATTTGCACAAAAAGTCCACAGTGAACTTAGCAAGAATTCTAAAATTAAACTGTGTGTTCCTTTTAACTTGGTCTTTTGATTTGCACATGCATGACTATTTGACTACTCTAAGCCTTTAATGTGGAAATTTGTTTGGTAAAGTTGTCGAAATGAAGCTACATCACCAAAGTTGAAGTGATTGAGCTTTCCTTGGAAATATTTGCTCTCATACTGCTAATTTTGGGACTCTGTTGTATATTAATTTTATCATTTTAAGCCTCTGTTTTCTATTGATGTTTACATTTTTCAGTTAGCACGAATTCTAAATCTCAACAAGATAAAGATTTATGTGATTACATTCATATAAATGGTTATCCTAAATTTAATGGGTTAATCTTCTCACTCTTTTGTTTAGATTTTTCAGAATTTGATTTTCGTATTTTTCTCACCCATTTTCCTCCTGATTTTCGTTTTTATTAGAGCTAGATCTGTTGTCAATTTTGGATCCAATTCTTGGGTGATTTTCTGATTTTTTTCTTAGTTTATTATGAAATTTTCTACTTGCATGTTCCTCAACATACAATGTTATTGGCATTGGAATGGATGAGTCCTCCATCCAGATATATAATCCCCGAATTGGTGAGGTTCAGCTATTCACACATTTATTTTATTTTGTCATTTTTGGAATATTACTAATTCAGTATTTAGTTTAAATTTGTTGACATCAAGTACAATCCCTTTGTGTAGGTAAAGACAAAGCTCAAAGGACATCATAAGAGAATAAGTGTGCTTCCTTTTTGAATTCTGTCAACGTGCTTATATCTGCAGGAGCAGATTCTCAGGTAAATTAGTTTGATATAGATGTATTTCGACAGATACCTTACTTAAAAGAAATATATAACTCTTCTGTTTTGAACGAAATTCTCCAGTATTTGCTGTGGTATGAGATTCATATGAAATGTACTCTCTTCTACGGTATGAAAGAAACTCATATGAGAATGTTTTCAGTCGTCTGCTTCTTTAGTTTAATAGGAATTTCATGCTATTGCATGGAACAATTGTATGGTTTTATACTGCTCTATGCTAGCTCGAAAGATATTGCTACTCTCTTCTTTCCTGCTGAACGTCATCGAGAATTTTCCCCTTCTTCCAGTCTGCCCAGACCTATAATGGTAGCTTTTTCCATTATTTTGGATTCTTAGGTTGCGTATCATAAACTGTATGTAATTTTCCCATGCATATTTGAAAATAGAAATAAATATGTATATAACTTTGATGTACATAATGCATCTATGGTGGTTCTTGTGGTGATTTTACTGAGTTCAGGTGTGCTCAAAAGTCGAATATCAACAACCTAGCTCTCACTTCGAATCGGCTTTAAACTCTTTTCCATCTTTTTTTTTTTTTACTGCTTCAAATCTGCTTCTGGTAAGTCTCTAAGTCTTTTGTTTTAATTGCTCTGGTCTTTTTATTCTTTATCTTTACTGGTGGTTAACGATCTCTCTCCTTCACTCTTTCAATATCGGATCTCTCTTCGAAATGTCAATCTTAATCTATCTTTGCTTAACTATTGTTTCTTCTAATCAAGAACCATTTGACAAAACAAAGTTAAATTCTTAGGCGTAAAATTTCTAATTCAATCTTATTCAATATAGGAAAAGATGCAATATTGTTTGTTTGAATCATAAAAATCCACAAGTTCATGAAATGTCCTGTTTGTTTAAATTATAAAAACCCCAAGTTCATGTGAATATCCTGTTTGTTTGAATCATTTTCAAGATAATGATAACCTAAGAATTATTTGAAGTTGTGCTCATATACTTCACATTAATTGGTTTCCATATCTTCTATAAGGTTGCTGGAGATCTTGGTAATTTGCAGTCTCTACTGCGAAGAGGAAAAATAACTATTTTGTGAACTCTCTTTGTTCATGATTACTGTTTATTCCTAAGTTTATTTCAATTTAAGACAATATTAGCTATTCATAGTCTCATCAACCTTTGCTATGAAGATTGAAGCTTGAAGGATTGTCGTTCTTTAAGTTTTCACTTTCTTCTTTTGTTGAATTCAATGGACAACTCCCTAAGGAGCTCAACATATTTTTTTTTGTTTTGACTCGATATTTGAACTTAAGAATAATTTGAGTTGGTTCATTGATGTCAGAAATAATTGAAATTCTTTGAACTTTATTTCAGCCTTCCCAAACTAAAACAAAGGTGTACAACTATTATATTTGATGTGGAGTATCTTAATTAGATGTGTGTTTTTCTTTCATATATGAATCTTGATATTTAAGGTGCAGTTATTTTGAAGTGTCGAGTCTTCATTATTCTTTGTAATGATTTTTTTTTTGGCTATAGCAGGGAACTTTTCTATGCATGAATTAGAGAAAAATATTGATTATTAAATCTTTGTATTAAGTTACAGTTCATGTTGTAAATCCTTCTATTGATTACCATTTTGTTGAATTGCTTAGTTATAACAGGGAACCTTAATTTGGTATG